TGCTCCGGACCGGCCCTGGCTGCCGGCTCCGGCACGCTGTCCGAGGCAGGTCGGGCACTCGGGCAGCGAGGCCGAGCTCAGGGGCGCGGCCTCCGCCCGCCCAGCCGGGCAGCGGGGAGCGAGGCAGGGCTGGGGGAGGCCTTGGGTCGGAACAGTGCCGCCTTCGCCAGCCAGGATCAGCTCAGGCTCGTCTCCGGCGTCGGGTGTGGGCGCCAAACCTCTTGCGCTTTCCCGCTGTCACCGAGGTGACAACCAAGTCCTCCATCGGCCCGAAGGGATTAAGAAACCCAACAGCAAACAAAATGACTGCCGCCGGAAGTCCCGCCCTGCGCGTTGCGCATGCACGTCAATGACGCTGCGCAAGCTTTCATTGGGTCAGTCGCTGCGACCTCCGCTAGGACTTCTGGGTAATGGAGTTTGCACACCGCTGCCCGTCTCCTCTCAGTGATTTGGCCACGCCTTGTTTGCTAAAGGCCGGGTGGCACTGGTGGGACCCTGAGAAGTGGGGTTCCAGTGCTGCAAAGATAGGAAACTTTTTCTTAAAGGCGACATATCAAGTTGTCTTGGAGTGTAGGAGTCTGACAGAAATTTTAGAAACCCATTATTTCAGACTCTGAAGCATAAGATCCTAAAATACTGCTTATCTAAAGGGATACACTACACCATAAAGGGGCTCCACATCCTCTAAAGTGTTTGGTTGTCTTGTTGCTTTTCAAATACATGTAGAGATAAGCTTTGGAGTTATTTCATAGTTTCAAGGGGGACGAAGTGTATATATACCTCAGTTGTGATGCATGTGCGGGACTGTAAGTTTAGTCTCCACCACTAATATAAAAATAATAACAGTAACAATAATCTTCCATACGTTTGGCCTAGGAGAAGAAAGAAACACTAGCAGTGGGAATGTGGAGGAGGGATGATAAGATGTACTGATGTGAATTGAAAGGGCAAAAGTGTGTTTGATTCCAAGAGCAAACATCCTTCCTGGCTGTACAGTCAGTGATTGTTTTCCTACCTAGGGAACAACAGTTTTATTCAAATAATGTATAATTATTTAATATCTAAAATAGTTTCAAGCTATTTTAATACTCTCAAAATAAAAGTGAGAGAACTGATCACTGTGCTATTTCCTTCCAAAACAATGTGTGCTGTTTGTGTAGTAGAAGCACATGTGCAAAGCATGAATATTAACCCCGAGAAAAGGTGTGAGATTCTATCATTTTATCTTGCTGAAAAGTGGTTTTCATTTCATTTTTAAATGCCACACTATCTGCACATTGTTAAAATTCGGAAAACACTTGTGAAATGGAAGTTACCAAGAGCCATTTTTAATGATTGAGTAGTTATTCAAAACCAGTTTTAGAGAATAATATCTATTCAGTATGACCAGCTCAGTAAAGTTGGAGAGAACTAAGTCCAAGAAATCAGAAAATTAAGCTGAGCCTGTTACTGTACAGAAACATTTGCCACACTCATGTTTTAATGTGATACCTCTTCTTCTCCTCTTCCCCTTCTCCTTGAACCTGTCTGTCTGTCTCCCCCAACCACATACTGAGGATTGAACTCTGGGCCACTTTACCACCTAAATATACCCCCAGTTCTTTTGAGACAGGGTCTTCCTAGGTTGCTGAGGCTGGTCTTGAACTTGCAATGCCTCAGCCTAGAAGGTCACTGGGATTACAGGCATGCACAGAATGCCTGGCTCTTTTTTCATTCTTCATTAACTGTTTGGTGGAAGAAGTGGATAATAAATTGAGAGACTTGTCACAGGTTAAAATGCAGTGATGAGTATTTACTGCTTTATCAAATGTAGTATGTAATGTTTCAGGCACAATAGTAGATGCACTGAACACATTGGGTGTAGGGTTTCCAGTTTCTCTGTTTACAGAACTGTTTTCTTAGATTCAGAATTTGTCTACTTGGCATTCATTAATCACAGGACCAAACAAACAGTTTTTTCCTCTCTCTTGCATGTATTTTTAAATGCAACACTATCTGCACATTGTTAAAATTCAGAAAATTCTTGTGAAAAGGATGTTACCAAGAGCCATTTTTAATGATTGTGTAGTTATTGTGTATGCAGAACTCATACTGTAGTCCCCCAAAGTGACCTGGCTCCCTGATCACCGAGCTGCAATAGCCATTGTTGAGACAATGGTGAAAGAGTGGAGCAGTGGCCAGGGTTGGTGGAGGGAGGGCGGCAAGAATGGGCTGCACTGCCTGTGAAGCCTGCCCTTCTGGCCCAGGCCTGAGGCATGTGAGCCAAGGCCAAGACAACCCAGGGTACACCAGCCTGTCACACCACTGTGGGCCAGCCTGGCCCCAGTGCAAATGCCTACTTCACACAGCACTGCACCACAGACCTCAAACTCTGGCTTCCTGATGAGCATCAGGAAAGTGGAAGTTGGGTAGACCTGAATGGAGACTGGAGGACTAACAAGTCTTTTTTTTTTTTTTTTTCAAACTCTCACTAGTATAAATTTGGGCAATGGCCATTGACCCAAGTTCTATATAAACGTCTAGACCAGCACAAGCAGCAACCCCTCTCACCTTGTGAGAGCTCTCTTTTCTTCTCATATGAATAAATCCTAATATTTTACATTCATTCTTCCTCATCTGTAAATGTCATTCTTCAAATCCACAAGAACCCACAAAGAAGAAATTGGCAGTGAGTTTCTGGGTCTGCTGCAACACCACAGAAAAGCATAGCCTGACGTTAAGAGCCACACCACACCCCTGAAAGGCAGCGAGGAACTGCAGTGAAGGCTTTGCCAGATGTGACCCTCAGAGCTGATGCTGGCAGGATCCCCTTCCTTGATTAGCTTTGAACACTACAACAAGCTTTCTCAGCTGTAGAAGCCAGCAGCTTGTGCAGACCAGACCTACCTGTAGAAGTGGAGAGACTCCAGTTTGAAAACCACAAACCCTAACCTGCATATTCTCTTCCTGCCCAATGGGGATGTCCCTCACCTAATTATTCCTTATACTTTACACAAAATTCATAGTGCCCATTACTTTATTCTTGTCTTCCTCTCTTTCTACACACACCTTCTCCTTGCATGGGCTCCCTGACTCCATTTGTGTGGTTGCTGAGTGTGCCCTTCTACTTCAATATCTGTAAGTAATAGAAACTTTGTATCTTGTGCATCCTGATTATTGAAGGAGTGCTTTCAGTCTGAAAGATCCCAAATTAAAACACTAACATCAGATCCTACAAAAAGAAAAAAGTGTGGGTTAGGGCAGTAGTGAACTGGCAGAATATAGGACTTCATATTTCCTGTGGAATATTTTAGAAAACTGGACAATACCCCCCAAATAGATTAAAACAAGTGTTGACCACATCTGTGACCCTACCATTTTTATTCTAGGATTTTGCCCAGGTAAGTGAATAAAATACCATCTGACAACTTGGTTACAGGTGACATTAAAAAGTACATTTCCTTACATATTCAATTACCTTTTTGAATTCACCTTTGTGAATTAATATGAGAGTCTCAATTTAGTCAGAAGTCTTGAACTGATACCTCTTAGGGAAAATAACTTAGGCAATGCCATTTTAGAACATACCCATCCTAGAACAACTGTCGCCCCACGGTCACTCTGATCCAGAACAAGTCAGCCTGATCTAAACCCCAGATAATACCCTTTAACAAGAATTCTTATCTGGGACTAAAACTTGAGAAATACCCTGTTCAAAATGGAACAGTAATGACCACAAAGAATGATGGTGATAACTGTGGTTGTTCTGGTTACTGGTGGGGTCAATTGGTCACTCGGCTACCTCAGTCGTCGGGGGTAGACATGGAGTCAATACCCAGACACCAGGGGCTGGTGAGAAGCTGGCTGGTAATAAACCTCAGTCGACGTTCAGCAGCCCATTTATTTTTGGAATGCATCCGATTGTTATAGGGTACGAGTGGGGCATGCCTGTCAATCATAGATAAGCAGGATAATATTCATAAGCCAATCATCTTATGCCTAATGTAGCCGCACTATGAGGAAGCTCTAAATATTGCTGTCATGGTGGAAAGCAGTCTGGAAGGGTCTTTGTCCCTAGGGGAGGGGGCCTTCTGAGTCAGGGGTTTCAAGCCCTGAAGCTCCTGACTATCGGTTCCTGGCCTGGTAGTTTGGCAATGCTAACCACAAGTGCTGAGGATGTGGTTTCACTTATGGCTTGCTAGAGCAGAGCACCCCTTCCTGCAGGTGTTCCTGTCAGGCTTGAACAAGCGTAGATTCTTCAAGCACTCCAAGCTGCTCATAGCTGCTAGCTGCAAACCAAAAGTTATTCCAACAGACAACCATAAGAACCCTTCCCTACGACTCCAAAGCAGTAGCCATACTGCAAAAATTTCCCAATCCCCTATAACTTCCCTCAGCTATATGTGGAAGACAAGCTCCAGGCTACACTGGGACCCCCTGCTGCAGGTTTGTCCCCCCAAAAACTGTTATTGTTGAACCACCTCTCCTATATCCCTCTGTACCTCCTTTGTTCAGTTCTTTACTGGGCCTGGGAACTTAACAGTGTAAGGCCATTCTTTACCGCAGCCCTCTTCTTGGCTCTAGATGTGAACATTTACTCCAACATGAACTCCTGATGAGTTTTCACCCTTGCCAGAGACTCAAACCAATAGGAATGTCCAATATTGAATATGAATCTAAAGACTACTCTTTATTTTACAAATACCCTGTGTCAGGAATTTTGTTACAGTGACACAAAGCTAATACAAACAGAAAAAAAAAAATCCATAAAGAATCACGTAAGTTGGACTTGACTAAAAACTTCTCTGCTAAAAACATGTTTTAAAAAGGTGTCCTTGATTTGTCATTAGGAGATTGCAAACTATGCAATGATGTAACACTATACATCTATTTGAATGGCTAAAATTTAAGTTGGCAGTTTAAAAACTAAATATACTCTTAATATGTGATCCAACAAATTATGCTCCTTGGCATGTACCTAAACGAGTTGAAAACTTATGTTCACACATAAACTACACACAAAAGTTTGTAGCAGATTTATTCATAATTGTCAAATCTCGAAAGCAACTAATGTGTCTTTCAATAAGTGAATGTATAAACAAACTGTGGCCCATCTATACAATAAAGTATTACCTCAAAACTTGAACATAAATCTACACAGTAGCTTTATTTGTAACAGCCCCAAACTGGAAACAACCCAAACATCCATTAACAACACAATGGATTTGAAAATGTGTCACAGAGTGCAATACTGCTCAGCAATACAAACTACTGATGCATGCAACAAGATGGATTAATCTCAAAATAGTTAGTGAAAAAAGCCCTCATTCTCAAAAAAAATTACCATTCCATTTATGAAATCCTACAAAATGCTTGCTTACTGTTGTTAATATGGAAGAATTAGGAAGAACTGGAAGGATTATAGCGATAAAAGGAATATTTTTTTGTGTTGGACATATTCAGTAACTTGATTATGACTGTTTCACAGCTGTATGTGCATGCTGTAGCAGCACACATTTTATACTTTACATATTTGCAATGTATTGCATGTAATCATACCCTGATAAAGCCATTAATAACAATACATTCCCTCATAGAAATCTCTTTCAAGCCTCCTTCATGGAAAACCAGATCTGCCAATTGTTTTGGCTGTCCCATACTCATTTCCCTATTTAGGAGTGCTGGTGGGATCAGAGAAACCCTATCCTTCTTATCAGTTCTGTGGTCCCCACCTATGCAGTGATGGCCATAAGGTCAATGCTGGGGTGGAGGGTACAGAAATCCACAAACCTTATTTACTCTGATAGTAGCTTTGGCCACAGGAAATAATATCAATATCTAAAAAGATTCAGAATTTCCATACATCCTCATCCTACACAGCCATACTCATGAGTATTTGTGGGCAACCAGTCAGAATGTACAAATCTTTTGATTGCCAGTCCTATCCACTCCAGTATTTCATTGTTTCTATAATTATTACTCCTGCCTTACCCTGTATGTTTTAACAGTAAATGCACTTGCCTGTGAGATGCTGGATATAAGATACTGGCCCCTGAACAGGTTCAAGACATGGTAATCCCTCAACATGTGAGATGCTGGAGGATGTGACATTTAGGGAACCTGACTCATGTTATTTTAGGAGCATGAGAGATAATCATACCAATTATTCCTTCCTCAGAATGAAAAAGAAAGCCTTACATCCAGAGCAAAGAACCAGAGCACATAAAACTCTTCAGTCTTCACTAGCAGGCCAATGGCAACAGCACACACAGAGTAAACTAGACTGAGAACCATTCTCTGCACTCCTATGGTCCCCCCTGAGGCAAATATAAGTTGTGCACACAAAAAGTATTCCTCTCTTCATGTTGGCGGGAGCCAATTTTTTTTTTTTCAATTCAGTCCACAAAGTAAACAAAGCAAAAAGAATGACATAAAGTGCCTTTATAACTGTATAAAACAGTAGAATGGAATAGGTAGTTGCAACATTTTGTGACTTGGCAGTAGGAAAAATAAGTCATGGCTATTGTGTTCACAGCCAACACTGTTGCATCAAGGGAAAATTTGTCTCAAAATGCTCAGCAGACCCTAGCTCAGACCTTAACATTGAGGGAAGAAATGAGGTCCCTCAATGGACCAGAACACTCATGATTTCCTGTAGGGAACAGGAGAGCAAGAAGAGATTGCCTTCCTTGGGCAGAATGGTGGGATCATCCATAGACTTGGTGGCAGTAAGATGGCTTCTGCCACAGGTACTGGCAGTGATGTTACCTCTGGAGTCACGAACAGTCTAGAAACTCCTATACACCTCAGGAAAAGATCATGCATATGTGTGCCTACTGGAAATCTCACCAGAGTAGATGTAACAATATACAAGGTTCATATGCAGGCTGATGATTCTCTCACGAAAGGAACTCAGAGATTTTATTTGATGTGTGCACTATTACTTGAAAAAGGAAATAGCAAATTTTCTGCATTTGTAAGACCTCCCTCTAATGTGACATTTTTGCTGCTAAACAAATTTAAGAAATACAGCTAAACAGTCACCAAAACTGTTGCACACAGGGCCTTTCCCCAATGTGAACTTTCTGGTGTCTCACAAGATGGGAGCTTCTGCTATACGCTTTCCCACATTCACTGCAGACATAAGGCTTTTCTCCAGTGTGAACTCTCTGGTGGAGAATGAGGCTAGAGTTACGGCTAAAAAATTTCCCACATTCACTACATTCATAAGGTCTTGCTCCAGTGTGAACTTTCTTGTGTTGAACAAGGTGAGAGCTACTAATGTAGGCCTTCCCACATTCATTACACACATAAGGCCTTGCTCCAGTATGAACTCGCTGATGTAGAATGAGGCTGGAATTGTGGCTAAAGCATTTCCCACATTCACTGCACTCATAAGGCTTTGCTCCAGTGTGAACTCTCTGGTGTACAATGAGATTGGAGCTATGTCTAAAGAATTTCCCACATTCTCCACACTCATAAGGTCTTTCTCCAGTGTGGATTTTCTGATGCTTCACAAGTGTGTCTTTACGGCTGAAGGCTTTCCCACACTGACTACACTCATAAGGTCTTGCTCCAGTGTGAATTATCTGGTGCTGAATAAGCGTATCTTTGCAGCTGAAGGCTTTGCCACATTTGCTGCACACATAAGACTTTGCTCCTGTGTGAACTCTCTGATGTTTAATGAGGCTGGATTTATGGCCAAAGAATTTCCCACATTCAGTGCATTCATATGGCCTTGCCCCAGTATGAATTCTCCAGTGCTCAATAAGGTGAGAGCTTTGACTAAAGAATTTCCCACATTCACTGCACTCATAAGGCCTTTCTCCAGTATGAAATCTCTGGTGCTGAACAAGTGTGTCTTTACGACTGAAAGCTTTCCCACATTCACTACACTGAAAAGGTCTTTCTCCAGTGTGAACTCTCTGGTGCTGAACAAGTGTGTCTTTGCGGCTAAAGGTTTTCCCACATTCACTGCATGTGTAATGCTGTTTTTCAGTGTGAAATTTATGGTGCATTTTTAGGTGGGACAAGTGAACAAAGGCTTTTCCACATTCCTTACACACAAAAGATGTTTCTCCACTGTAAATTTTTCTGTGATTAAAAAGAATTGACTTGTCCTTGAATACATCTCCATATGGTAGGCATCTCAAGGGTCTCCCCTCATTATGAGTTATCTGTTTGTCAAAAAAAGTGAAGGTGTTCAAGAAGGTTTTTTGATTGTCTCTCCAATTGTGAACCATCTGTTGATCATGGTCTCCTTGGTGTTTCCTGAGACTGGAACTCTGTGAAAGAGGCTTCATGTACTCAGTCCTTTTGTATGGACACAATCCACTGTGCTTGGGCTGGTGCTGAAAGAAGCCAAAGCTATCCGGCAAGTTTATCCCTTCTTCCCTGCATGAAAAGAGTGTCCCTGGTGTGTAGGGTGTACAGGTCTTCATAAATGAGGTCCTTCCATCATCCCTTCGGAAGGGATTCTCTATAGACTGTAGCTTCTGGGGCTGGTAAAATTTTTCATTAAACAAGAATCCTCTCCCACATGGCCCACACATGTGCAGTTCTTCCACAGGGCATGATCCCTGGTGTTTATCCAGGTGCAAAATGTCTTTCAAGAGTGGGACACCCATAAAACATGGGTAGGCTTTCTGGATGAAGAGATCTGACTCAGGATGTCTTATCTCCAACTGTCTTTCTACTGAAATGCTCTGCTCAAAAAGTGCCTTCTCATTATCTGCATCACACCAACAACCTGAAAGCAAAGAAATGCTGGTGAAGACCACGTTGACTTTGGTGGAAAACAGTAACTCCATTAGAAGAAAAAGTCAAATTGGCTTATTGGAGGAACCAGAGAGCCAGGATCAGGTGGGCAAGGACCACTTGACTTTACAAGTCACAGAATAGAGGATCCTTAATGATGAGCAAAGACCTAATGATGGCATATGGGAGAGAGAGTCGAAGGAAGGTATCTAATTCACTCCTCTGAAAAAGGGTTTCAGCAGGGCTCAGCTGCTAGTGTTAAGTAGACACACCCTGCACAGAAGGATGTGTCTGGGACAAGAAAAATCTGACTCCAGTACTAGTTGATTCTCAAGGTCTATTCAATGTGCACAACTTATGACATGTTAAGATATGCCAGTGTCATACAGCATTTCAGAGGGAGTAAAGAAAAGAGAGTGACACATGGAGGCCACAAAGGAGGGGAAATAACCAAGGGATGGTTGACAGAAATGATAAGTGGACAAAGTACCAAGAAAAACAGGCTCAATAGGGATCAGAACATAACAATTCAAGGTGAATCTGAATCCAGCTCCCTTTTGAGGGGTGGGCAGGTCTCCAACAGTTCTCTTTTACTATAACTGAAGCAAATTTGGCTCAACCAGACACCCAGAGTCTTCTGCCCCTATGCCACTGGGCATTATACAGGATCTAGAAAAGAAAAGTTGAAAGAGAAAGAGAAAGTGACCAGCCCAGGTCAGCCCACCCTACAGAGAAGTAAACAAATGTAAAACAAACCCTGAAACCCAAGGGGAATTTGTCAAAACAGTCCAGTTACCACTTAGTACCTCTAATTGTGGTAACAGAATTCCAGGAAAAAAATGGTCCCAGTTATAGCACCTGCCACAAGGTGCTATAACTCTGAAGTGGCAGGCAGATTAGAGGATCCTTAATGATGAGTGCAATTTATTGGTGACAGAAGCATGGTCAAGAGTGTCAGTTCAGACCAGGATATGGCTCAGAGGCAGACAGCTAATACACTTGTCAGGGCGGAAGTGACTTCATCCACCTGAAATGTACCTGGTTTATCTCAAGCTATTATCAAAGACATCAGCCACATTTCTGCTCTAACAGCTCCAGGTTCCAGTCATAGAGCTCCACATACCATTCTAATGGTTTTGTTTATAGCATGCTAGAAAACCACAGGGGAAAATTAGATTACGGTTACTCATGTGATCATGGTAGTTATAATTCAAGATGGCTTCAGTCAAGTCAAGCTAAATCCCTTTCAACTCATCTGAACTGAATCTTACAATCTCACACGCCTCTCTCTTCTGCAACATGTATCACCTATAGAAAGTAACATATATCAACCTTGTATATCACCTACACAAGGGACAGGATCAGAGCAGACATTAATTTGAGCTTTATTAGAGTAGATAAGAGTAGACAGTCATAGGGTAATTGTTTAAAAGTTTTTGCAATATCTGGCAATACTGCTACCAATTTATTCCCAAGTAGCCAGAGTTCCTGCAACTGAATATGCTATCCTCTACTTTTCATTGCATTAACAGCTGAGAAGAAAAACAGGACTCATAGACAGCAAGGGGGTCCACATCTCCTATCACTCAGGTCCTTCCTCACTTTCTTCCTCTCAGGGATTCCAATTTCTTGCACCCCATTCTGGTCATGAGACAACAGCTCACACATGAGTTTCCTTTCAGTAATTTGCCACAAGCTGCAGAAATCACCGGGCTATGGTTTTTAGATTAATAATGTGGTCTTCCACTTTTTCAGCCAAATAATAGGCTAAGAGAGGGGGAGATACATATCTCTTTCAAGCTCTAAATCTTGCAATTTCTTTGCTTTCCCTTTCACAGCCCTGGACATCAGTGGCCAACTGAAAAGCCCACAGCAATGGCCAATATGCTGTAGCAGAAACACAGTCTTCCCTTACTGCAGTGGGATAAATAGTATTCAACAAACACCTGTGCCACACCCAGAAGCACTTCTGGGTTGTCCTTGTGTACAAACAGTGGCCCACAAACATCTAACAATGGGTCACCCCTCCCACACAGGGACAGATGGCCAATCTGAGATTCCCACTAAAAGTTTTTCTCTTCCCTATTTTCTTGGTCTCCAGGCTGGCATACAAACAACTCTGGAAAAATCCAATCCCAGCATATGAGAAAAATCTGCAAAGTGCCATTAAACTCCCCACTTCCCCACTCCCCGCAAAAAAAAAAAAAAAAAAAAAAAGGTAAATGAATCCAGAAATGGACAGAGTTCAATTTATTGGGGACTTAATTACAGCAGTGTAGCAGACAGTAGCAAGTCAAGAGGATATCTGCAACTTATAGAGGAAGGGGGCTTTTACTTCATTTAAGATAAATGTATCCTAATTTATCTCCAGCTGGTATTAAAGACAGCAGTCCAATTCCTGGTGCTGCCAATGCCAGGGTCAGATCATAAGGCTATGTACCACTCTAATGGCTGTTTGTAGTGTGCTGGGAAAGGAAACTATGTGGACAAACACATCAGGACAAACACTATGTGGTGAAGTCATTGTGGTGAAGACTCAAGAGGGCTGTAGCCAGGTGAAGCCGAATCCCTACACATAGCCACATCTCAGAAAAGGTAAGCTAGAGGATGATGCACAACCTGTGAAATACAGGTGGCAGAGCAGAGGGCAACAGGGACAGTAAGTGTCCAAGGTGTGTCAAATCCTTTGAAGACTAAAAGAACCCTGAATCCCCATAGTCTTGTAGACGATGTAAAGTGGTGTGGAGACTGTTCAAGAAATACCATCCACTCTGGTAACCCAGGAAGCGAGCGAGGGTGGGCTAGGGGTGTAGCTCACTGGTAGATCACTTCCTTAGCACAACCACAAGGCCCTGGGTTTGCTGGCCAGTAATGGAAAAAAAAGTGGTGGGATGTGTGGAAAATTCACGGATATGACAGCTTACAAGTGCTACCTCTGGGGGAGAATCAATTCAAGGACAATGGGATAAGCATAATGTTCTATGGATGAAATCCTCAAAGATGGCAGAAAGTGATTCCTACTACTTATTGGTAATTTGACCCTCATGTAAGCCTCTTCCCTTCATTATAAGCTGCACTGACTGATTTATAAAGAGAATATAGAAGAAGAAGAAATAGAATGTCACTTTTAAGATGAAGTTACAATACTGGATTTCCATCCCAGGTGCTTTCTCTTGCTCACTTGCTCTCAGAGAAGTCAGCTTCCATGATATGAGGTACACTAGGAGGTCTTAGGCCAACAGACAGCAAGAAACTCATGCTCTCAGTTCAAGAAGGGACAAACTTGGGCTAGGGATATAGTTCAGTGGTACAGTGCCTGCTTTGCATGCATAAGGCCCTGGGTTCAATCCTCAGTACTGCCCCCCCCCACCACCAAAAAAAGGAGATGAGGGGCAAGCTTGTAAGTAGAATCTTCCCAAGGAAGGCCTTTAGATGACACCTCAGCTCTGGCTGACAACTTCACTGAAACCTCACACAGAGACTCTGAGCCAAAAACACCCACATAAACTGTGACCAAGATATCTGAGGCACTAAACTAAGACATAGTAGTTCTCATTGTGATAAGCCTCTAAATTTTGGAGTGATTTGCCATGTAACAATACATAACTAAAATAGGAACTTACCAAGTGTGGCCACCAGTGCAAAATTCTCCAACATCACATCACGATACAGGAATTTCTGAGCCTCTTCAAGGAGTTCCCACTCCTCCCAGGAGAAGTATACAAATACATCCTCGAAGGTCACACAGCCCTAGCATGATGAGGAGAGTTGAGCCCTCAGGCAGCATCTCTCCCCAGAGTCCCCCAGTTTATCCACTCACATAACACACAGCACTTGGTCCCTCTCCTGGCCAGTCTCCCTTGAACCCCTTAGTGCCTGCTCTCATGTCTTTTTCACCACTACGTCCAAACCTGAGTAAAACCAGGCAAGTGTGAAGATGCTGCCTAAACTATGGGCCTGGCATGAAGCGCGCCACTCAACTGACAACCAGTACTGCTTTATCCATACCATGGGTGCCAGACACAACCTAACCTCTGTTCAACCTTCTCCCAGAAGCCACCAATACTAGAGCTGGAAGACTGTCAGTTCACATTCCTTCCAATACGTACATCAGTCTTAGGATCAACCTGGCTCACATCTGGGACACCCAGCACCGCAACTCCTGACCCATACCATCTCCATGGCATTCCTCCCAAGCCAACATAAATATGTACCACTGCCATCAAGGCACCTAAGCAACAGACTCACCTCTCCATCCTCACTTTCATCTTTCTTATTTGCTAACTGCACTGCTACCATGACTTGAAGATATTCCCATAGCTCCACATATTGGCTGTTGCCTTTGAAATTTCTTCAACAGAAACCCTCCCCAGAAATAAAAACCTGGCTATCCAGCTTGGTAATTCCACCAGGAGTCTCTAGGACTCCTTAAACATGGTAGAATGTCTGATATAAACACAAAAATCACTGCAAGAACTTCTCCATCTCAGATGACAGCACATTCATCACTCTACCAAATAAAGCACAACAAAAGAAACCTTGGATCACCCATGACAATTAACTTTCTCTACTTCACCCTTCACATCAAAAAAACCTGCCACAATTCTTCAAACACAGATAAGAAGTTCACCAACTTCTTTCACCTCTTCATCCACAACTCTGTCAGATACCATCAATAATATTACAGTAGACTCCTCCCCATGCCCACAGTCAGTTCTCAATCTGAAAGGCAGAAGGAACTGTTTAAATCTGAGTTTCATCATCTCTCTCATGTGCTCCAAATCTCCCATGGCCTTCACCACACTCACAAGAGAGGCCCAGTTTTGCAACCTAATATTCCTCTCACCCCAACCCCTGCTCTCTGTTCCCAGTAGATATACTAGAGCAGTGGTTCCTTCAGCATTCCCAATTCAATCTTCTGTCCAAGAGTTTGCACAGGCCACTTCCTGGGTCTAATACGCCTTTCCATGTGTCTTCCCACTACCAGTAGTGGGATCTTCTCCATAAACACCTGGTCTGGATTCAGGACCTCCGGCTAGAAATGACACCCATGCAGGGCGCTTAGACTTCCCTGTAGACAGGGCAGCTGAAGAGTCCTACGATATCAAGGCCCCCTCAGAAAACCTCGTGAGTCTACTTGAACACTGACACAGCTCCCCAGCGCGCTGGCCACACTGGCCACACCGTCAACGCGCACGACACCGCTGCCCCAGGCTCCGGCCGGTCCTCCCGCCAACACCCGCACTCCTCACTCTGCGGCCAGAGGAAGCCTGCTGAGCCGGCCCGGAGCACCGTCGTCTCCACACGGACCGCCTCGCGGCTCCCGCCCCTCGGGTGAGCAGCGGGGCTCCTCGAGCTGCCACTCAAGGCCAGACACGGAGGCCCTGCTGGCTCCGCACCACGGACCTGCGCCTGGAACCTCCCAACTCGTCCTCACGCCCCGCGTCTCGACCCGCGGCTCCCGGGCCGTGGAAACTGCATCTCGTCGCACTGCCAGGCCGACGCTACATTCGGGGCGAAGCGTCCGGCACACACCACCGATTCCCGGGTCAGCGAAGGCCCGAGGGACGCTCTATTCACCTGCGCCGCGTCCATCAGCCCGGACGCCGCCACGGGAGGGACCGGGTAGCGACACACGGGCGAACACGGCGGATCCCGCTAGACCCCAGCCTCCGCCGCGCCTCAGCCTTCCTGGACAGATGGAGACCGGATCCCGGGTCCTCGCAGGGCGACGGCGAGCACCGTCACCCACCGCCGTGCGCCCGCCGCGAAGCTGGGAAGAGACGCGGCCCGCCACACGCCCGCCCGGCCGGTGTACCCCAACGCGCGCAGCAGACGCGACACAGAGCGACGCCGGAAGTCCCGCCTCCACGCCGCGGTGGCAGGAAACGCCCTCCCCCGCGGTTGTGGGCCCGACGCAGCCGCGTACGCTCCGCGCAGACTTCTGGGTAATGCAGTTCGACCCTGGGCACCCTTAGGTGCTCCAGGTCCACCTTCAAGAACACCGCTTAGGAGCAGGTAGGGGAGAAAGAGGGTGGAAACAGTATCTGGGAGACACGGGCTCCCTTTACTGGGGGGTACTCGGGTTTCCGTCGTCACGTGGGACGATGCCAGGCCTCAGAAGTCTCCAGCAGGTGATTCAATCTACAATCTTTCCTGCTTCTGAGGCCCGGGTAGTGCAGCCTCAACTCTCAGCTTTTGGAGACTGGACTTAAATTGTCATAAACGAATACACCTCCCTCGTGGGGACTCTGGGTACCAACATTAAATGCCCTTCTACTTTTTTGATTCCTAAGTTGGGGTCCCAGGTTTCACAACATCTGCATTGCCAGACATAAAAATGAAACTCCTGGGACCCAATCTATATGTTCCCTTGGGGTTGGAGCCCAATCTCATATTTGAGAACTAGAGTTTTCGTTTAGCTCTAATTTTAACTCTACGTTTTAACCCTTCTCTCACGAAGATCCTAAGGCTTGCTTTGAACTTGCAACTTCCCTGCCTCACTCAGGCTAGTTAGCTGGGATTACAGGGTGTACCACCAGGCCTGGCCTATTTTCACCTTTTAACATATGTGTAATTTTACTAACATGGACAAATATTCAGTGCAGGGATAATGAATAGCTCTATTAATGACATCTACAGAATGCCTGCTATTGATTAATGCACGCGCACCAGACCCAGGTATTTTCTTTTACCACAGTCCAGTCACCACTGACCTCAGGGTTGTCTGATAGCCCCTCAGGATATGCCAGCCCCTTGGCATTCCTGGAACGAGTCCACTGGGATTTATGTATTCTTAGCTAGTCCCAACTCAGTATCCACTTCCTCTGGGAAGCCTCTCAAACCAGCCCCTCAGCTAGACCAACACAGAACTGAGCCCCTGATCTCCCCATAAGTTTTTCAAAAGCACCAAGATGGCTCACACACCTCTATACCTTTGCACATGTTGATGCCTCTGGTGCCAATCACATTTCTTTATTGCAACACGAAACAATCTCAGGAAACTAAACAATGAAATCCCTTCTCCATGTGTGTTTTGCAGGATTTATCATAAATTCAATTTGAATAGGTGTTTTGCAGTGTTTGTTTTAGCCAAAATAAAACCCTGGGAAAATGCTGACTTGGAGAAGGTCTCAAGAAATTTAAAAACAAAAGGAAATTTTTTAAAAAGAAAAACACATCAGAAGAAATGATTAGGAGTCACCTGTGAAGATGGCACAGCTACATGATCACCATCATGCTTTAGAGAAAATAATAAATGAACAAATATATCAAAATAAAGAAATATGAGAGTCATATAGACATTTTAAATGACATGAAAAACGCTTAGTTTTTAAAATTTCATTTCTTGGGTTTAGTTTTTAAAATCAAACCTTTAAGCGTTCTTAAGTGAAATGACATCAGCAAGATGACTTCAGATATTCCCACCACCCGCGAGCACACTGAATAAACACGATAAATTCCCTCTAGGAGAAATCTAGGACCAGAGTCTCTCCACTGTATCTGCAGCTCTCAAAGTGCTGACAGGCGCAGGGCGCCGCCTGTGGGGGTCAAAGCGAAGGAGGTGTAGAATCTCTAAGTAAAGCCCTCGAGAAGGATGATCACGGACCTCAAGTCTCACTCAGGAGCCGCTGAGCGAGATGGAGTCTTCCAAACGACACCGAGGCGGGCTCCCTCACTCCATCCCGGCTGTTTTCTTGCTCTGTTCCAGGAAAGCTGTCCCTGTCACACATTCCAGTCTACAAGGCTGATGTTGAAGAAACGGCAGAGTCTCCTTCTGCGGAGCCGGAAGCCCGTCCCTTCGGGAAATGATCCTTTCCGGTGTCTCCCTGGGCTGTGCGCTGGCGGAAGCACAAGGGAACGGGCTTGGGGGCACCCTAGTGCCCGCGCTTTAGGCGCCCACACGCTGCGTCAGTTGCGTTCCCCATGGCAACGGCCAAGCGGCACTGCCGGGACAGCCCTTAAGAGGAAATTACGTTCCAGAGCTCCGATAGAGGTCGAGTTTTGCTTCCTAAAAGAACTGTTGAAATTTCCGTGGCTATCGAGGGGCACAGAAGACCCCTTCCCTGGCCGTCCTGCCTGTTTCGCCCTGGGCAAGCTGCTTCACAATTCTGAGAAGTGAGGACCGAGAGTTATCGTGAAAACAGAAACAACTTTACCTTGGGAATAGCACTGGTACACGTTACTTTAATTTGGTTTTACAAAGTTGTGGTTCCAGAAGGTGACGAGGACCTTTAGTACCAGTTACTTGGGATGCTGAGGTGGGAGAATCGCTAGAGTCCAAGAGTTGGAGGGCAGCCTGGACTATTTAGCGAGACTCCCATCTCAAAATACATGAATCAAAAAAAGAAAGAAAGAAATTGTAGTACGCAAGACTTGGGAAGTGGTCAAAAATGCAGGCTTTCTGAACCCACTACTAACTCAAAAACTCTGGGTATGGGGCCGTGAGTTCCAGCTCCTACTCCATCCTCTTCACTAGTCCACTGCAAGCAGTTGTCCTGTCTTTGGTCCGGAAGAGCTGAACAAGTAAACCCAGTCTTATCAGTCGTTACTTAAATTCACCATTTTTTCCTGTAATAGCCAGAATGAAGTCAAACTGTTTGCCAGTGCCTCCACGATTTTCTCCTGGCCTCTCATCTTCTGCATTCTCTGCCTCCTTCATTTTCCAACCAGATCCCTTTGTTTCTCTGAAATTTCCTCCCAGGGGAATTTTACCAGAGACTCTTCTAGTATCTTCAGTTTTCAGCTTCCTTTTTTGTCCTCTGTTCTCAAATGTAGCAACTGGATGCTTTTGTGAAACATGGTCTTCCGGCTCACTTTAACCCACAAAATACAATTAATTTTCACTGCTCTAGTGCTGATTAGTTTCCACCACCCTGAAGTCCAGGACTGACCTGAAATTCTGTCTTCCTAGAAGGCCAGTTCCTTGGAATTTCCCTTCTTTCAATGATACGATCAATAAATCTGTAATATGCCAAAACTGGTTTCCACAGCCTTTCTTTAATTTGCCAAAGGTGGTTACCTAGAGAACCCTAAGGATTATTAGCTTTCCTCATTAGGCCATCACCATGGGAATTTGTTGACCTGTACTGTGATGTTTTAGGCCAACAATCAGTGATAATTGAAAAGAGAATAATAATGATAACAGGAATGCATTTGATAGTAAGTACAAAAATCTCCCCTTGTACAGTGGGGATAGGTTCCAAGAACTCCAGTAGATGTGTCACTAATTTTTACACCCAACTGGGTTCTTTTTCCTGCTTGAAATTGTAGAACCAATAATAAGATGGAGCACTGATTGATGAGTGAAGGACATTTATTCTTGGCCAATAGGAGAAGCAAGGGAGAAAGGCTCACACTTCAGTTTCTACCTATTGCAGAGCAGAAAGAATAAGAAATAGGTAGAAGGGGAAAATAAATGAAGGCCAAGGAAACAAAACATTTAAGTTCTGCTTATATTTCCAGGCCTGTCATTCCCTAAGCTAGTCTCTTTCCCAGGTCTGTTACTACCAACTTTATGGAAAATCTAAAATCTACCTATGTACTGTACTAACTCCCAAATGAATAGATTGAGAGATATTGAAAAACCTATAATTTAGAGTGTAAGGATTTCCAGTGTGGGGATTCTGGCTATGGAAATGTACAAGGCACTACTTTATATTCAGAGATACAAAAAAATTGTGCCCTATATGTGTAATGAGAATTGTAATGCAAAATAAAATAAAATATTTTTAAAAATGTACAAGGCAGCATTCCTCTGGTGAGCAAACTCCCAGAGGGTAACAAGGTGCTCTGTTTTCCACAGTTGGAATATTCTACAGTTTCTCCATGGAACTAATAAGATGACTAATTCATGCTCAATGCTTAGCTGCTATGGTAATGTCCTTCATGAGGAAGCTTTGAGCTAGAATCTTATCAGCCTCGACCTTAATCTCAAATACTCAGCTTCTGGGAATAAAAAAAAAAAAAAAACGCTATTAAAGACCACATCAGCCTAAGGATAATCTTGAAATAATTAGATGGATATCATTCCCGCATACACAAGCCCTCACCAAGTTACCTTTAAAAGAGCCAGGAACTACAAAAATCCATCTTTCACTTGAGATAGCCATGAATGTGAATCTACTTTCCTAAATAAACCTCTATGCCTCCCAGTGGTGAATGCTAAAATTATTATCACCTAAGCCAAGGGTCCCACTGGTACTTAGTTAAGTTACCCCTTCTCTCCTGGAACTCCTCAGACCCTTCTTCTGAGGCACCTCTTCTCCTGTGGCATGAGGAGGGGGCAGAGAGTAAACTGGGCATGATGGTACACACCTGTAATTCCATCTTCTCAGGAGGTTGAAGGAGGATGGTCCCAAGTTAAGGCCAACTTGGATAATTTAGTAAAACCCTATCTCAATTTTTTTTTTTTTAAAAGGGGGTAGTTGGGACAGTAGCTCTGTGGTAGAGTACTCCTGAGTTCAGTCTCCATGAAAAAGAAAGGAGGAGAAGAGGTGGAAGGAAGGGAGGGAGAGGGGAAGGGAAAAGGAAATAAATTTGGGGGCTGGAATTGAGCACTCAGCCTTAACAAACTCTCTCATTACTGGAAATTAGAAATATTACTAAATTACCCATAAAATTTACATTAAAATTACTCTTCACACACTGACCAATAAATAAAAAACTATTATTGTTCTCATTAGCATTAACACATTTCCACATATATTCTGAGGAATTCTGTCAGGGATACATCTTGGCAAGTATTATTGGCAAATATTATATAAAATTACTCCCTGATTTGGAAACTAGCCACATAGATACTGAGTAAAGTTTTACATAAAGGCACAAGTGTACTAGTTGTTTTTTGTGTTACTGTTTGTTGTTTTTTCCAGTACTGAGGATTGAACCCAGGGGTGTGCTATCACTGAGCCAAATATATATATATGATTTGTTTTGTTTTAAAATTATGATGAGATTCAATTTGAAGGGTTGCATATGACAAATAATGACTAATATAATGTCATCTGCATATATATAAATATAAATGCATAAATATAAATGACTAAATAATGTCATCTGCATCATTTTCATGAAGTACCATTAAGGAAGTCTAAAGGAGGGGCTGGGGATGTGGCTCAAGCGGTAGCGCGCTCCCCTGGCATGCGTGTGGCCTGGGTTCGATCCTCAGCACCACATACAAACAAAGATGTTGTGTCTGCCGAAAACTAAAATGTAAATAAAATATTAAAAAAAAAAGAAGTGTAAAGGAATACCATTTCATTTACCTATTGTTAAAAAAAAAACAACTCTGATAATTAGAAATGTACACATTCATTTAAAAATATCTGAATACAGTACTTTTTCCTGGAAATACAAAAAAGATCTCTATAGCACTATTCATGTAAATTTCAAAGCAGACAAAACACCATAGCTACTATTAGTTGTACACATTTAAGTTAACAAACTATGAAGAAAAGCAACAAAATCAGTGAATTCTGGAGGACACTTTCCTCTCCAGTGTTGGGTGGAATTTCCAATCCAATGAGCTCATGCAGGGCATGCTAAGCTTTTTCCATTTTTTAATGAAAAGGTGTGAGTCCACAAGTAAAATTATTTTTCTTTTTATACATGTATCAATGAGATTAATAGACACATATTCAGTACACAGATCGAAGGCTCCCTACATGTTTCCCATGTAATCTCAGGCAGAGCAAAAGACAGAACATTCCCAGTAGCTTTCCAGACACAAACTTGCTTTCCCTCAGTTCATACCACATACATGACCAACATTCTGTCCTTTATCCCAATGCATGAGGTCCGCCTAGTAATGACCTTATTGAAAATTTCACCTATATGTTTTTTTTTTTTTTTTTTTTTTTTTTAAATTTTTTAATATTTATTTTCTAGTTTTCGGCGGATACAACATCTTTGTTTGTATGTGGTGCTGAGGATCGAACCCGGGCCGCACGCATGCCAGGCGAGCGCGCTACTGCTTGAGCCACATCCCCAGCCCTCACCTATATGTTTTGTGTATGATACATCACAATATTTTTTTTGGAACTATACCGGTTTTCTAAGGAACACACTTCTATGCTTGCCATGATCCCAGGCTCTGGAGGTATCTATGCCCCACTCTGGATTTTTTTGGTAATGATCACTATCATCACTCCAGACGTCAACAGAACCCCTAGACTCACAAGGCCTCCAACCCAGCCCTACTATCACTGGCAAATGCCAAAGACAACATGTAGGAGGATTTTTCAGAGAACATGATGACTGTTTCCAGAAAACAAAAGTGCCATGTTGTTATACAAAGCAGATAGCATTCCCAAACCATAGAGAGAAGTTGGGGCCTGTGCAGGCCTCAATTCTTATTATTTTTTTTAAACCATTTTATTCAACACATATAGATCTAGGTAGTAAAGAAGAGAGGAAAAGAAAATGAAGGGATATAGGATATAGATCAAGAAATTGGTTCTCTATTTGTTACGAACATATTTTAACATATTTTATTAAGAAAATCCTGAGGAATCTATTGAAACGTACAGCTAGACCTAATAGGTGAGATCACCAAAGTCATAACTTACAGGGTCAATATGTAAGAATTATATTTTCCTCTAAAGGCAAAGATCATGTGCAACATCAAATTAAAACCTCAATTTCGAGTCTGGTGTGGTCAGCACTTACCAGGATTGTAGGTTGAGGAAGGACTACAGGAGCTCAGGAGTTCGAGGCCAGTCTGGACAACAAAGAAAGAGCAAAACAAAAACAGCTGGGCATGGTGGCACATACCTATAATCCCAGTGACCCATAAAGCTGAGGCAAGAGGATCTTCCAAGACCAGCTTCAGCAAATTAGTGAGACTTTGTCTCAAAATGACTGAGGATATAGCTTAGTGGCAAAATGCCCTTGGATTTAATCCCCAGCACACCCCATAACTACTAACTAACTAAATAAAACCCTAAATATCACAAAAACATGGTTCCATAGGATATATCTACAAAAGTCTATAAAAAAAATATGTCCACAATTAGAAAACATGAGATAAATGAAGGAGATCTAAACAAGAGACATCATATTTATGGACTGGAAGACCCAACATAGTAAAACAAGATAGTCTGGTGAGCAGAAGTTTGGCCTCTGCCAATAACATGGACAATTAGATCAATAAAATAGAGAATGCAGAAAGAGACCAACATGAAGAAACCTAATGATATTTGACTAAGCCATAAAAGCAATTAAATATAGGTAGGCCAGTCTTTAGGAAAAAAAAAAAAATGGTGCTGGAACTGAACATTCATAGGCAACAGCAAGAGAAAAAAACCTAAAACCTCATGCAGTAAAACAAAATTAACAGCATGGTTCAGAGATTCAAACAAAAAAGGTAAAATTTTAAGATAAAATATGAGAGCCAGGTGCTGGAGCACACGCCTATAATCCCAGCCACTCTGGAAGCTAAGGCAGGAGGGTAGCAAGTTTAAAGCCAACTTCAGCAACTTAAGGAGGCCCTGAGAAACTAGTGAGACCCTGTCTCACAAAATAAAAAGGGGGCTCAGTGGGAAAGTGATCCTGGAAGGAAAGAAGAAAGGGAGGGAGAGAGGAAGGAAAGAGGTGAGAAGGGAAAGGAAGGGAAAAGGAAGAATAAATATGCAGGACCTACAAGAAAGAAAGGACGAAGGGAAAATTCACAGGACCGACAATTTGGTGAAGAGTTCTAAGACACTACATGAAAGGAGCAAAGAACTGCCAAAACAATGACGACACAGATTAACACAACCCAAAATGACGCTCCCTACAGTGCCAGTGTGAATTACCCATGGTCACCTCAACAGCTCAGTGGAGAGTTCCAAGTACACATGTGATTATTTCTATCCTTCTGTACAACATCCTTTTTAATGCTGAGTAATACTACTTCATGTAGCTCAAAACCTACGCTCCAAAAGAGGATCCATAGTAGTACTAGTAGTCAGTCAACAGGGACCAAGTCCCTGGTGATGA